TGGGGTACACCTTAGTGGGTGTGAAATGGATCATAAGCCAACAAAGCAGATGAAGAACAGTTGTCAGAAAGGGAAAGAGAGAGAGAGAGAGAGAGAGAGAGAGAGAGAGAGAGAGAGAGAGAGAAGGAGGGACAGGAGCAGCATCACAAAAACATGGAGAAGAGAGAAAGAGAAAGTAGAGAGGCTGGTCCACTAGTGTTAAAGGCTGCAGAGGTAAGGAAGAATAAGGATTGAGAAAAGGTCACTAGATTTGTCAATGAAGAGATCACTAGTAACTTTCAAGAGAACAATTTTAGTTGAATGAGGAGTCGAGAATGAACTGGAAATTGGAAACCTGGGAGACTGGAAGATGGTGGAGTTCTTAATGGGAACAGAGGAGTTGGGAAGAGGGATGAGTTTTGGGGAAAAATAATTTAATTGCAGCCCAGTCATGCCTGTTCATTCTGTGCTGCTCACACTTTGCTACCAAAAAATGAAAAGTATATGTGTGTTTATTTGGTGGGGAGGGGGGAGAAACATTGTTTGCTCAGTGACCATGACCCTAGAGTACAGAGCCTGTCTTTGGGGGATTTCTACAGTAGCCAAGAGATAAAAGGGGCCGGGCATAGGGACCCTGTAGGGAGTGGGAGCAAAGAAGTAAATTTTTTCAGTATAGCTTCTGCTAGTTGCCTGGGTTCAGTTAGGTTATAACCACCCTTTGGAGCTGCACCTAATGCAGCCTTAGGAGGGCAGAGGTAGAATAGAGGACTGGCATAATTTTGTTAGAATTAAGCCCACTTTTGACTGAGAGTGTACTATGTGCCAGGTGCTAGGGATAAGAATATGAAAAAGACAATCCCTGACCTCAAGGAGAGGAGGGGAGAGGAGGGGGAAGATAATACACCAAAAAGGGAGAAAGGGAGGGGGAAGGTGGCCAGCTTGGGGTGGCAATGGAGAAGTCAGAGAAGTCCGCAAAGAAAGCAGCCAAGTGGGAAATGAGAAGAGATCTGCAAGGGTGGGATGCTAACGATACTGCCACCCTCTGTGCAGTTTATCAACACCCCTTGGGATCATGCCAAGGTTCCATTAGGATTGTGCCATAGCTCCCACTTTGGAGACTGCTCTCCAGGAGAATAGGATCCCCTCCTGGATACACCGATTTTCGTGTTTTCTGTCATCCATGTGGATGGGGCCTGGATATCAAGGGATACATTTTACAAATGTTGGTTCTGTTCATGCCTTCCTGATGTGTGCCCACATGCTTATTAGAATCTGTAGAAAAGTATCGGCAATCATAAAACTTATTTGGAGACACATATGGACTTTGACATTTAAGCCTTATGCCTAGTCTCTCCTCCTATTTATAATTTATGGCAAATGCAAAAATAAAGTGGAAAATGGAAAGCAAGAGAGTAATCAGGGCTGCATTTATCTCATTTTGTAAATAATGAAACCATCTCCCCTTCCCCGCTACTGAAAAGATTTAAATTCTTAGACAGCAGGGACTGTTCATCATCTTTACCCCGATGTTAATTTGATGACTGATGAAGGGGTGAAATTAGTGTGTTCAGATCAAGTCAAATGTGACTTTCAGTAATTGGCTTGTGACCCAAGAACTTCCCCTTTCTCTTTTAGCTCAGGAACAGGTGACAGCTCACTCCAGAGAGGGTTTTTCTATTTCTCACTTGACTTGTCTTTGTGCCTCCAAAGTCTCTACTTTCACCCTGCCTAGTGAGCCCTAGTCATAGTGACCACATCAAAACTGAATCAATCGATCAAATACTCAACAAGTATTTGTTTATCACCTATTACGTGCCAGACACTGTGCTGGGTGTTGGGGATACAAATTCAATATCTGAAACTATTCGTACTGGTAATGAGAAGGCACCAAAAGTGTCTTCTCGAGATTATGGAAACTATTTTGAGATAATCACAGAGTTAGAGGCATTGGTGTGCTGGTATTTATTTTTTAATTTTATTTTAATATTTTTTGTATTTTGTATTTTATATTTGTGTTATAATATACTATTTTTATATTTTTATTTTATATATTTTAATATATTTATTTTATTTTTATTTATATTTAACAACCAGCTCTCCACACACATTAAAAACCCACACAAAAATATGTATATGAATGTGTGTGTGTACCCATAGCAGGCTTTTCAGATTAATCTTGATTATTAACATTTTCTTTATCACTTTCTTAAATGTATACAGTCATCATAAATAAATAAACTCCTGCTTTGTAGCATTGATAATTTCCAAGGTGTAAATGCTCATTCTAAAACATTTAGCAATCAGCTCTCCACAGTAGGAATTGGTTCCAGCACACTCCTTGTTGGAAATTATTAAAGAGGTCAGAAAGAACTAATAAATTAAAGAAATTGTCTAATATTTTACTAAAATCTAGATAAGTGATACCTATAGCATCCTCCTGATTTACGTCTAGTAATGATAACTGGCAATGTTGATTTTTATGGAAGTCTCAATCAGAGAAGTCTCACATATAGCAACCAAGAGGTTTTTTGGTCACCATTTTGGGGGGTAGGTGTAGGGAGAGGAAGGAATGGACTGTGGTTTCATTAGTTTAGGGAACTTCCAATAAAGAAACTCCTTTTGCCAATGCAAATTGGTGTGTGCTTTGTAATTTATAGGTTATAGAGAGTTATCCTGGGCACGTCAAGAGGTTGTGACTTGCCCAGGGCCCCACAGAACATGGTTGTCATAGGTAGGACTTGAAGCCAGGTCTTCCTGGCTCTTCTTCCATTTCTTTTTTTCATTATGCCTACCCTCTTCTCATCAGCACATGAAAGCTGAAAGCTGCCTCTGAATTCTGTCCCATGGTCCACATGAATTCTGTCACATGCCACGTCATGCCACAGTCAAGTGTTGATATAATTGGCCAAAAAGGAGAAACAGAAATCAAGGTCAGCATGAGCTTTAAGAGATTAGAAGCTCACCCTGTCTCTAAATCCTCTAGAGGCCCTTAAAGGAAAAGTGAGGCGCAAGCACAAAAGAATCTATTATTTATCTCTACTGTTGGGATTTGGAACCCTGCTTGGGCCTACTTCCTGGTGCCTGCCCTAAAGTCATTAATAATCTTCAACTGTTTGTACAGAAAGAAGGTCTGAGATTAGTTTCCCTTTTGGTTTTGTGTGTCTAACTCTGAGTCAGGATTTTGGCTGTAGGAAACACTCAAAAGCCATAGTCCATATGGAGACCATGCTAGAGGCCTATTCCATTAAGAAGAGAAGCATGTTCTCAATGTGAGTTTCTTGTATATGTTTGCAAGTACACACATGAGCTGTAATGTAAATGAGAGTTATTGTGGGTTGTATTGATGGAGGCAATGGGGCACATTGGAAAGAAGGCTGGATTTGGTGTCAGGTGACCTCAGATTTGAATCCTACCTCTACCACTCTCTTCCTGTGTGAACTCAGGTGAGTTATGCAGTCTCTCTGGGTCTTAGTTTCCTCATCTATGAAATGAGAAGGTTTGAGAGATGACTTATCAGGTACTTTCAAGCTCAAATTTATAATCCTAAAATTGTTTTCTATTTAAGTACTCATGTGGTTCTTGCTTTTTGCATTCAAGCAGTGGAATTAACTTTCACTTATTAGGTGTATGACCCTGGGCAAGTCATTTAACCTCTTTTTGCATCAGTTTCCTCATCTAAATGGGCATAAGTGTACCTATGTGGAAGAGTTGTAGGATCAAATGAACAGTAAATCACTTAGCACAGTGCCTGGCACATAGAAAATGCTATATAAATGTTGACTACTATTATTATTACCACACAATTCAAACCACAGCTCCCTTTTTAACAGGATGATAAACTTGGGTGAGGTGGCCAGTGAAGAGACAGTTTTTACTTATATTTTATTTTTAAATTATCTTTTATTCAATTATTATTATTGTTAACTTAAATAATTCTACAAAGTACTAACATCTTGCCACACGATTAAATTATCTTTTAAGCATTGTTAATTATAAATACAATTTTTCTATAGTTAAAATTGGTGTGTTACTATTTTATAACCTCACAAGATAGGTCAAGATTTTATTTGGAATTTTTCATCTGTATTTTATAAATGAGGTTGGTCTTTTCCTCATTTTTTGAGGGGGAAATATTTTTTTGTTTACATAATCTTTTATTTAGTTTTATCCTATTTAGTAAATAGCCACATGCATTATATGTGTATACATACATATATGTGTGTACATAAATACACATTTGAATATATAATACACATGTGTGAATCCATATGCATTTTCATGTACATATATGTATATGTTTCTTTTTTCTTTTTTCCTTAATAGTATTTTATTTTTTTTTCCAGTTATGTGTAAAGACAGTTTTCAACATTCATTTATCTAGAATTTTGAGATTCTAATTTTTTCTCCCTCCATTCTTTGCCTCCCCCTCCCCAAGGCAGCAAGCAATCTGATATAGATTATAAATGTACAACTATGTTAAACATATTTCCATATTAGTCATGTTGTGAAAGAAGAATCAGAACAAAAGGGAAAAATCACAAGAGAGAAAAAACAAAAAACAAAAAAAAAGTGAGAAGAGTATGTATGCTTCAATCTGCATTCAGACTGCATAGTTCTTTCTCTGAGTCTTTTGGAATTGTCTTGGATCACTGTGTTGCTGAGAAGAGCTAAGTCAATCATAGTTGATCATCATACAATGTTGCTACTACTGTGTACAATGTTCTCCTGGCTCTGCTCGCTTCACTCAGCATCAGTCCATACAAGTCTTTCCAGGTTTTTCCGAAGTCCTCCCGCTTATCATTTCTTATAGCACAATAGTATGCCATTACATTCATATACCTCGACTTGTTCAGTCATTCCCCAGTTGATGGGCATTGAAGGGGAAATATTATGCACTGAGTTTTGAGAAGGGTTGACTTTGGAAAATATGACTCTAACATCCTTCTCTCTGACAAGAGAACAGATGTTGATATACCCTTCACCAGAGTAATATGATCTCCATCCTTTTTCTCTCCTTACAGGTTGGTATTGCCTTAGGGTTCTTGATTCCTCCTCTTTTGGTACCCAACATCCAGGACCTGGAAGAACTTGCCTACCACATTAGCATTATGTTCTACATGATAGGAGCTGTGGCTTCCTTCCTCTTTATCCTTGTCATCATCAGTAAGTATAGAAGGCCTAACCTAGCAGGAGATGGTCCAAAAGACCTCCATCTGAGATGTGGAACTATTAGTAGAGAGTTGTAAGTTTAGCTCCAAAGTGTCACAACCTGGATCTCAGACCCTCTGGGAAGAGATTGCTCCATTTGCTGAGGAAGCATTGATAGCAAGATGACAATAGTCCTGAATAGTCAACAAGCATTTATTAAACACCTGCTATATGCCAGGAGTAGTGTGGACTTGGCTTCAAAACTCAAAGGCCCTATTTGTCTGATTGATAATGCCAAATACTGGAATGATTTTCTGGGAGATGGTTTCCATCTTCTCCCTTCAGCTTTGTTCTCAACTTCCCTTTGGAATGGAAAATAGTCCTCCCTTCCTTGTTAGCACTAAGTTTAGATTAGTGGTTTTGATGCAGTTTGGGGTTGCTGGGAACCCTGAAATGTCAGGGTACATGTGAGGATCTGCCTGGAAAGAATTCAAGCACTCAAGCCTTCTTCCAGTCAAAGTAGCAAGGTTTATTATAATGCCAGTAGAGCAGGCTAGATTCCTATGCATCTGTACTTGATGGGGGTGAGATTGATACTTATATACAAAAAATGAGCAGTGAAAAGATCTGGATGGGATTAAGGAGTGGTAAATAGTCTGGAATGGACTAAGTGAGGGACAGTAAAAGGAGTTAAGTGATCTGGAGTGGGTCAGGGGGACTGTGAAAGGAGTATTAAATGTCTAGGGTGGGCCAGAGTGACAATGTCAAGTATCTAGGTGGTCTGGGGTGGGCCAGATGCCTTTGGCAGAGGCGCCAGTGATATAGGCTACTGAAATGTATGGGAAAATTCAGGGACTGAGTTGCTTTCAAAGACATGGTCTTTTCCTTTTAGGGGTCTAGGTCCCATGACTCCATCATTTTGGCCTGGCGCATTATTAATAAGCTCTTAATCAATGCTTGTTGATACTAGGGCTTGGGTCACAGACTTCTTAGGCTAGTACAAATGATGAAGTCTCATTTAAATTCTGTTCTTATACATGCATCTCTTTCTCTTGATTGTCAGTGGAATCTTTGGCAGTAGGACAGATTTAAGGAGTTCGAACATCAAAGGAAAGTTGTTTCATAGGATCATAGATAAAGAGTTGGAAGGGTCTGGAGAGGTTATCCAGACCAGAGATGTCAAACTTGTGGTTTGATGGACATCTGGGGCAGGGGAGGGGGGAGAGGAGGAGATGGTTCTGAAGTAGTGAACTCCTGGAGTTGTCTGTTCACAACAATCTGTTCACAAATTGATGACTGTCTATATTTTCATTTGGTGAGTAGGAAGCAAAATTAGAGCAAAAAAGCAAGTGCCAGATTTTCAAAGTCAAATTTCAATGCAGTTGTTTCCAGATTCTGACATTTTCAGTAGACAGCTAGCCGTCAGCAATTACTGACTTTTCTGGGTTTTGTTTTGTTTTGTTTTGTTTGTTTTTACGAAGCACTGCTGAAAATGGTTGAGCAAAGAGTTTAGAAGTCCAGACAGAATTCTGATTTGCAATGTCTTAAATCTTATTGCTCCTTGCCCTTACAGAGAGATGTCTTCTTGCCCTATATTCATTCCCTTACTTAAAGGGGAAGTGAGCAGGATCATACAATGGCTGAGTGGGTGGAGAGTTAGCTGAGACTTTTCCTGGAGAGTGAGAAGCTGGACCTTTGAAGTCAGGATTTCTGAGTACTTTCTGGGTGAAAGGTCGGCTCTGATATTCTAAAAGAAAGTACATTCTTGTTTTCCAGGGTTTCCTCTTACTCTAGATAAACTTTAGAGATAATTCAGGGCTATAATTGTGGGGTTGTGGGGAAGGGATGCTAATGATTTTGATCAGGAAGGGTCACATTTAAATTGTTTATACACAGCTAATCATTTTCACCGAATGGATTAAGCCAAACAACTGCTGACTTTAAAAAAAAAAAAAAGGAAATTAGATTAGTGGCTTGACTGGGGGGAATGGCTAGACCTGATTAATTAATTCAGTCTGTGCTCCATTGGTTTGGTTAGTGGAGGGAAGGAGGAGGGGTAGAGATTAGATAGATAAGATAGACTAATTACTAAGGTTTACTATGTTTAGAACAAGTTTAAGAAATGGCCAGTATAGATGAAAGCAGGGCAGTGCCTGCCCTCAGGGAGTTTATCTTCTAATGAGGGGAGGTTACTCCTAAAGGAGTGTTGGAAAGAGGGTTGGGGGGTGTGAAGGGTACCCTGGCTAGCTAGAGTATGGTGAGAAAAGTGCGGGGCTGAAGAAGGAAGAAATAGATGTTTTGCGTTCACCCCATTCTTTTGTTTCAGAAGATGAACATTTAGGATTCTTTTTTAAAATGCCTTTTAGATTCCTTTGTGAGACAAATATTGCACCCTGTTTATGAGCAACTTCTCCAGAGGACCAATACCAAACACTCTTGCTTTTGCTTTCTTTGTTTCTTACATGGGTAGCTGAGTGGCATAGTGGATAGCGTGGTGGACCTTGAGTCAGGAAAACCTGAGTTCAAATTCTGCCTTAGTAGTTACTTAGTAGATGCTAACTTACTAGTTATATGATCCTGGGGAAAGTCACTTAACCTCAGCCTGCCTCAGTTTCCTAATCTGCAAAATAGGGAAAATAATAGTACCTACCCCCCATGTTTATTGTGGGGACAAAATGAAATAATATTTGTGAAGCACTTTGCAAACCTTAGAGCCCTATAAAAATGTTAGCTATTACTATTATTATACATTTTAGTTTCAGAGCTTTGTAATTTCCTCATGTCTTTCTGGTGTGTTAACCTGTTGCTTATTACTGGAATTCTCAGTTCTCCAAACTGTACCTGAGGGATCAGGTCCTTCTGTAAACTGTGATGAATAATTAACCCTAGAGAACATTCGGTAAGCCAAGAGCAGTGAAAAGTTGCTTCATGGGGTAGGCTGTTGGGAACCCTTCCAGAGCTAAACTTTGTGCTCCTTCTGCTCCTTGAAAGATGCTGCTCGTTTGCGTGCCAATTTCAGCTTCCATGCAATGGTGTGGCTTTAAGGAATTGGTTCAATCTATTTATGAAGTGACTATATAAAGATAAATTTATTAAGTAAAAAAGACATTTACTAAGTTAATATTACATGTAATACACTGTGCTGGATTCTGAGGATACAAAACTTTGAAATGACATAGTCCCTGCCCTCTGGGAACTTATCTTCTAGGGGAAAACATGAAGTACATACAAGCATCATACAAGGCTAGTGAGGCAGAACAGAGAGCCAATGTCCTATAAGAATATTTGATGAGAGATAAGTGGCTTTCCACTGGGAATATCATCGGGGATAGTTTCATGAAGGTGGTCATATCTGAATTTTAAAAGAAAAGATGGATTTTAATAGACAGAGATATGAAGGAAATATAGGTAATGAGTATGAATAGACAGAGATTGAAAAGTTTAGGGCATAATTAGGGAGTAACTGGTGGTCCTTGATGGCTGGAATGTCTGTAGAGAATGTGAAAGAGAGTAGAGTAGAGTAGAATAAGACAAGAGAGACAGGCTGGACCACAGGTAGGGAATCTGCGGCCTCAAGGCCACATGTGGACTTCTAGGTCCTCAGCTGTGGCCTTTTGATTGAATCCAGGGCCACGTGTAGCCTCAAGGCCACTGGTTCCCCACCCCTTGGCAGGAGGATAGATTGTGGAAGGCCTTAAATATTAAACTAAAGCATTTGTCTTTCATCTATAGCTACTGAACAGTATTGTGCAGTTTACTGACTTGTTCATTCCTTTCTTATTTTTTAAAAGTATTCAGGGAGAAGCCCAAATATCCCCCAAGCCATGCCCAGTACTTGAGCTATACGATGGAAGCACAGAAGCCTACTTATTTTAAGTGCATTGGCCGGCTGTTGAAGAATCAGAATTTTATGCTCCTCTTGGTCAGCTATGGTAAGGTTTAAAGGCAACCATGCAATCTGCATCTTCTACCCAATCAAAATCCTGTTAGTTGTTGTCAGTAAACCTCCAGCTCACTCCTTTCTTTCTCAAGGAATGAACTACATGGCTCACAATATTTCTCTCATTCCTATCTCCTCCCTTCATAGTAAGGAATTTAAATATACATATTGATGCTCCTTCGAACACCTTACCCTCCCAGTGCCTCAAACTACTTACCTTCCATGACTTTCAGCCACATAAGAAGATGGCCACACGCTTGATCTTGCCATCTACCAACTCACCTCCTCCATGTTCACAAACTCTGAAATTCCCTTATCTGATCACAATCTATTGACTTTCTACCTCTCCCTTTGCTTCTGATACTAAAACCTGATCTTTGCCTACACCATGACCATTTAATTGCTTTATCCTTCAGTTCTCATCACCTCCAAGTGAGCAATACTCTCCTCCTTTCTCCATCCTGACCTCTTGGTGAACTAGTTCAGAACTCTATTCTCTCTAATTTAGGGTCCCTTGCCCCTTTATCATATTGCCTATTGTGCCCTGACAAGCTTCATCCCTAGAGCACTCCCACAACTCTCTGCCTTTCCCTTCTACACACGTGCTGCTGAATAAAGGCAGAAAAAAATCACGCAACCATTTTGATTAGCTCCACCACAGATTTGTGTAACATAACCTCAACTGGGCCCTCACTGCTGCTAGGCAGTCCTAATTAACTCACTATCTAACTCACTACAGACAATCTTCCAAACTTTTTCATTCCTCCTCAAACATCTCATGACTCCCTCTCCCTCTAACCTCTCAGCTTAGAACTTTTCCTCATATTTTATTCAAAAAATCGAGGCTGTTTTCTGAGAGCTCCCTCTTCTGCCCTCCTAATAATTCAAATGCTTTCTGCCACTATCGCCTCCTTCACCCCTATCTCACATGAAGAGGTAACCCCACTGCTTGCCAAGACAAAGTCCTCTACCTGTACAAGTGATCCCATTCCATACTCTGTCATCCAACAGGTTGCCTTGGCTATCATCCCCACTCTCTCATTTATGTTCTTTCTCCCCCTGTCTACTGGCTACTTCCTTATTGCCTATAAGCAAGCCCATGTCTCTCCCATTCTCAAAAAATCCTCATTTGATCCTTTTTTTCCCCTACCTCTTGTGGCTAAACTTTTTAAGAAGGCCATTTCTACTAGGTGCCTTCACTTTCCTCTCACTCTCTAACGTCTGGCTTCCTACTTTATCATCCAATCAAAATTGCTTTCTCTAGTTGTCAGTGATCTCTTAATTGCCAGATCAAATAGCCTTTTCTTAATTCTCATCCTCTTTGACCTCTCTAAAGACTTTGACATTGTTGATCAACCTCTTCTCCTTGACACTCTCTTCTTTCTAGGTTTCTGTGATGCTGCAGGCTCCTGTTTCTCCTATCCTTCTGATCACTCCTCAGTCTCTTTTGCTAGATTGTCATCCCGGTCATGCCCATTAACTGTGGGTATCCCATAGGTCTCTGACCTGGGCCATCTTCTCTTCTCCCTCTATACTGTTTCACTTGTTGATCTCCTCAGCTCCCACAGATTCAATTATTATCTCTATGAGGATGATTCTTGAATTTACTTATCCAGTCCTAACTTCTCTGCTGATCTCCAATCTTAAATCTCCAACCTGAGCTCAAAACCGAACTCATTATCTTTCCCACCAAACCCTTCGCCCCTTCAAACTTCCCTGCTACCATCTAGGGCACCACCATCCTCCCAGTACCCCAGGCTTGAAACCTAGGTGTCATCCTCTAATCTTCACTGTCTCTCATCCTCTCATCCAATCTGTTGCCAAGGCCTGTCAATTTTATCTTCATAATATCTCCCACATGTCCCCCTTTTCTCCTCTGACACTACTACCACCCTGATGCAAGCCTTCATTTCCTAACCTACTCAATGGCTTCCTGTTACCTCCAGGATTAAATACAAAATCCTCTATTTGTAACCTGCCCCACCCCCACTTCCACCTTCACCCCTTCCCAATCTTCTTATACCTTACTCTCTTCCCCATACCCTATGATCCAATGATACTGGCCTCTTTGTCGTTCCTTGAGTTTAAAACTTCATCTCCAGACTGGGCATTTTTACTTACTTTCCCCCATGCCTGAAATGCTCTCCCGTCTCATCTCTGCCTTCTAACTTCCCTGCCTTCCTTCAATCCTTCCATGATTTTAGTCAAGCTAACACCAAACTTTCTGCAGGAAGCCTTCCCCAGTCCTTTTTAATCTTAGTGCCTTTTCTCTGAGACAACCTCAGATTACCTTTTTGTATATAGTTGTTTGCATGCTGTCTCCCCCATTACACTGTGAGCCTCTCAAACATTCAAACAACATTTATTAAGCACTTGGAGAAATAATGGAAGGGACAAACTTTGAGAAGAAACAGGATCAGAAGTAGAGGAGCTGGCCTTGTTAAGGAAAAGAGTCAGCTATTGTCAGACTGGAGCAAAGGAGGGTAGAATGGAAGATAAAAGCCCAGAGTTTTGAGGTGTAGGACAGGGAAAGGAGTGTACTTTTCCATTTCCTTATGGAAATTACCATTTGGTAACTGAGGCAGCTAGGTGACACAGTAGATAGAGCACTGGACCTGGAATCAAGAAGGCCTGAATTAAAATCCTGCCTCAAATCACTTACTGGCTGTGTTACCCTGGGTAAATGACAACCTCTGACTGCCTCAGTTTCCTCATCTGTAAAATAAGGTTAGTAATAACCTACAAGGTTTTCCTCAGAACAAAATGAGATAAGATCTGTAAAGTGCTTTGCAAATCTCTAAATGTCATATAAATGCTAGCTATTATTAACCTTATGCTGAACTGTTTATACTCCCTTCACTATTATTAAATAGCACTGATCTTCAACTTCCTGTACTCACTTCTCTCTGAAAGATCTAATCACTTAAACCCCACCAGACTTTTTTTTTGGTTTTAGCCACCAAATAATTCATCGTTTGAGTCATATCAGCTCAAGAAATGATCTAATGAGGTGTGGAAGGGTTACAGACTGAGTGAGCGGAGCAGGCCCTTGAAGTAATTACTTATTTTAACAAACTCCGCCATAACCTACCAATTTAGATGCCCCTTGGGCTCTGTCCTATAGCCACATCATGATTCGTGTAAATAATGATTTCCCTAAAGTGGTTGCATGTATTTGAATTTGTGCTATTTGAAGTTGCAATTATATAAAATATGGTAGTTGTTTCTAGTCCAGTGAAAATGCTCAGTGTGATTTTGAATAATGCAACCACTTCAGAGGTTTCATAATTTGAAATGGAATTGGATGGTGTTAACAAGTCCACTTGTGCATGACTTTTCCAGGTGCTATACAAAGTTGGTACAGCAGAGGATGGCTCCTCTTAGGCCTCGTTTCTTCACCCCTCTTCAAGCACATGTTAGCACAGGCCTAGTTGAGTAGGAAAGGAAGTGAGGGGAAATGTAAGGTCACTTGCGGCTGCTCTACCACGCAATGATTCAAATGTTTCTAAACATTTCCTTGTACTACTCATAGTAGTCTTGTTGGGGTAGAAGGCTGAAATGTATGGATAAAAGAGGTTTTCTAATCTCTAACACCAGAGTTGTTAGAGTGCTGGCCAGTGCTAGGGAGGACAGAGAAGTCTGTTAGAGTTACATTCTTCAACTCTGCATCTTTTATTAAAAATATTTTCCCCTTCTGTTTTTGTTTAATCTAACCTTTAAATTTAGAGAATCATAAAATTTTTGAGTTGAAAAAGCCTTCATTAGTGATCTAGTCCAAATGACCACTACAATTAAGCCATCTTCCACTTAACATACTCATTAGGCAGTCATTCCACCTCTGCTTGAAGACCTCTGTTGAGAGGGAATCTCAGAATCAGGGTTAGAACAACTCTCATCTTTAGAACATTTTCCCTGACACTGAGCCCAGATTTTCCTCTTTGCTTCTATGCATTGTTTCTGGTTCTGCCTTCTGGGTGTAACCAGAACTAGTTTAAGCTTCCTCCATAGGATAGTCTTTTGAGACTTCTGCAGGCTAACCCTACCAAGCTCATGGACTCATTGCCCCTCACCTTGGCTGCCCTCCTTCGGACAACCTCCTGCTTAACCATATCCTTTCTAAACTATTGTGCTCAGAATTGAACACAATACTCCAGATGAGTTCTGACCAAGACAGTCTAGAAGGATGATCACCTCTGCATTCCTGGAGGCTCCGCCTCTCTTACTACAGTCTAATGTAACCCCAGTTCCAAAGCCCATTGGTATGAAGAAGACTCTATCCTGGTTGGTGGACATAAATACCCTTCCCTGAATGAGGACAGGGGTGGAATTGGTGCAAACTCAAGAGAACTGAAGAGTCCTGCTTTCTCCCAATCTCATCATCTTTTTCAGTGGGTTTTACGGCTGGGGTTACATTCAGATTGTGTTAACTTTTTTTGTCTGTCACATCAAACTGTTGAATTATATTGAGTTTGCAGCCCAGTAAGAGCCCCAGATCTCTTGCAGAGGAACTGCTGAAATACAGGCCTTCCCCACGTTCAACTTGTTAAGCTGATTTTTTGAACTGAAGTGTGACTCTACATTTCTAGAATTGCAGTTTTATTTAAACTACTTAAAATATATTTTATTGATTTCTTCAAATATTTTTTATTATATTTATTATATTGCCCACTTTCCCCATATATCCCTCTCCCTTCCCTTCCAAGGGAGCCATTCTTTATAACAAAGAATTTCTTATTAAAAAAAAAAAAAGAGGAAAAAGAGGAAAAAAATTGAGAAAACCAATCAACACAGTGAAAAAAAGTCTTGTGATATGTAACGTTCCACACCTCACCCATAGATTCCTACCTCTGCAAAGGAGGGGCTAAATGGGGTGCATCTTCTCATAATTCTTCTTTGTGGCCAAGGCTGGACTTTATAGTTTTGCAATATTTGGTTTCAGTTGTTTTGTGGCTGGTGTTCTTTCCATTTCCATTTTTGTAGTTGTGTATATTG